TCTGACAAATGGAAAGCGCACTAAGATTACTATTCCAACAAAAAATAACCGTGAGCAACTTGTTTTTTCGCTAATTTCTTAGTTATTTTCTTTTCTTTTGGCTTAGCAATGAAACTTGGTCTCAGTGCAAATTGTACTGTGCAGGAATTCAAAAAACTGGGGTATTTTAACTTAATACTCACACATGGCCGCATCTCTCCAAACATGCTATCCCTGTCATCCCAAACACAGAAGAATCTCAGCACTTGTCTGTCTAGTTCAATAAACTGCTTTAGTTTATCAAAGTCAGATGGGGTGATRTAGGAGCGCAGGGGCTGTTTACGAGACTGTGTATAAGGGTCATTAGAGATTGACTCTGGCGGATTGAGATCAATTCCTTCACTGGCCATAAATTCCTGAAAGGGGAAAGAGATGAAAAAAATCAGAATAGTTTATTTGTGAATTGTCCAGGATGYYACTAGTCTCCTCTTKCAGCCGTTTGGAYGTTYGTTCCCAGGTCACYAGGGGGAAYGAACATCCTAACGGCTGCGAGAGAGACTAGGATGTTACATTATGGATCATTATTTATCTTAGGGGATGTGCTAACTGTGGGACACTCTGGGCTAGGRTCAAAGCACTAAAAGTGTCAAAAAGTTCTAATTTATTAGAGCAATATACATGTAGTGAAGAACTTGGTATAATTCAGTACAATTTAGTACTATTTGATTACTAAAGCTACTCATGCTTTTATTGTTTACACTACATTGTCACARTAAAACTAGTACTTTCTAAACTAAACAATCCAATAAACTTACCCTCGTCCAACCATCACAATCACACACAAAAAACACTTTGCCATAAAATGTCACACAGATTCCTAAATTGAAGTCTTTCCAATGCCAGTATTCACCAAGATCGTTCTTTGGCAATCTTTGCCTTTTGATGAGTTTCCCTTGAGGAATACCACTGGAGATATAATTAAGAATCAAAGTTAGATTTGAAGATAAAATTACTGGCTTTCAAATATTGAGCTACACAATGTTGGTCTAAATAAGTATGTCAAAAAAATGTGCTTTGATTTGCGATGCAGTTGTTATTTTTGAGTACTTCTCTTTGACTCGGTGTGTTCCTCAGACATTACCGGGATGAGTATTATAAAGCAATGGGAAGAATTGAAATATTGATGTCAAAAATGGTCGTAGTTTTATTAGTACTTCTAAAAAAGGATGAGAAACGAAGGTGTAATGTCTAACCTGTTTTCAACTACTGGTTCTATGACAGCAATAGAGTCATCCTCTAGATAATAATATATTTTTACAGGTCTAACTCTGTAATATTCTCCAGGAGACTCGTGGACAGTTTGCTTAAAGTATCCATGGAACAACAACACTTTCTTGTCGAAGGCAACATGAGCAGGCACAAAGTCCTCTGGAGGCGCTTGGACTTTTTGTCCATACGTAAGACTTGGTTTTAAGTTTGCTAGTTCATCAAGTTCTTCTTGTGTTAGTTTATTTACAGGAATAGGATCGCCACCGATGCCTGATGAAGGGGCAACGGGAAGCGAATAGCCATTCCGCCATCCTAAGGTCTGTGGCCGATGAAACTTTGCTTTCTGTACGAGAAAAAAATCATTTACGGTTTTAACAACAGTTAAATTGTTACTGGGSTTATTATTAAAGACGTATCAGCATTTAGAAACAGATAAATGTATGTTTTTCTCTTAAATTTAGTGTGAAAACTTCGAAAAGAAATCAAAATACCGTTATTTCTGCAAATGAATTCAATTTACAAACTAAATTTCCYTTTTTTCGACTAACTTACCGTTGGATCTGTAAAAGTATTCCCTGGTAAGAAAGGAAGAGCCATTTTATTTGTGTTTTCTGTTTAAAATCGGGAGAGATTTGACCTGCTTCTCGTTGCAAGCTCAAGTAAATACAACATGGAGTGTGGTTTCTATTTTGCCGCGTCTGTTGGCATAGCAACATCAAACAACCGCTAGRTGCATTCTGGGTAATAACACAGGAAGCCCAAAAATCTATTTCAAMGAACTTCCCGAATGATTTCTTTTACGGTTTGATATTTGTAAAATTCGAACATCTAAAGACTTTTTCAATTTCATAATGCTGGATAGGATTAAACCCAATACGTGAAGTCTTTAACACACAGTCACGCCAAGAAACTTTATTTTAAGGAAAACTAGTTTCGTCCCAGATTGGTTTTTACGTTTTATAAGTTTTTAAAACTACATAAAATTAAAATTTAAAAGAGAGGGGTCACTATAAAAGACATCATTGATGCAAATGCTAGATTTAATGAATTTTTAAATCTATCCGCCGATCAAAKAAACATCGTAAAGCTCTCCGTGTTGCTATTTCCCACCTTGTGCGCATCTTTTGGCATCGTAAGGAGGGTCACAAGCATCGCCCCTTCCCCCCTTCCAAAGAAAAAGATACGGTTTATTTCTTTTTCATTTCTTTAATAGCATACCAATATTGGTCTCAAATATACAATCCAATCAACTATCGCAATATATTACATYTTATACTACGCTATTCTATGACATTATATATGAATAACGATTAACGAATATTTTCTCTCGAGTATAAATAAAACTAGTATGACTTTTCCAGGCAATAGAATGAAGTCAAAAAACCCGTGCCGGMAATAGATATTACACTAACTTCCATTTATMGTAYGCTCTATAATTGCATTGTTTTATTTTGTGTCTCTTTGACTATCACAACGCTTTCATAGTCAAATTTTGTTGTACTGGTTTAATGACTTCAATCTAACAGCTTTAATTCAAAGAACAAAAATATAACGAGTCCAGAGCGGTTTGCTCTATTACAATTTTTCAAACTTAAGTTTTTCGTGGCTTTAGGTCCAGTTCATAGTGCAACATAAGCACAATCTCCATAAAAAAAGGGTTTAAGGATTAAGAAGACAAAAAGGAAGGTGCTTTTTTGTTTATTCCTTTATTTTTGATTATCTTATGCTCTGCCTTATATGTTACTTGCTATGCTTATATCGATGCACGCTTGACTTCATTCCTTTCTCCTTTCTTTTGTTTGACATGCTTATGTCGTAGTGTGAACAAGCAGGCCCTTATGTGTTTGCACTCATTGTAGTTCGTTGACGAGCACTATATTTTACAGTGGTGATCCGTAACTAAATAAAGCTCTTTCTATTAGCTTATTTAAAATAGATATCGTTTTTCTATAAGTACAGTACTTTGGATGTTTGAACACTAATGCTATCTTTTGCTAAAAGAATTCAAGAATTAGTAAAATGGTTGTGCTACCTCTCGAGTTTCGTTYCAAAGTGCAAAATATATTACATATTCTATCGAAAAAATATTACATACACCAAAGGTCTTCTCATACTTTGGAAGTAAACCACACAGAAATTATAAAGATAAGCTAAGAAAAATAAYGTTATGAATTGGTATCGAAACTTTTGGTGTCAGAGAGATTTAGTTTCACTGATGTTTCGACTGAATCACAGCAAGTTGCTTTTTGTTTTCTTTCTCAGTTTTGCTTTTACATTTTTCAAAATAACTTGGGGATTTTTTGATACTATTTTCCAGACGTAAAAGAAATGCGGGCTTCTCACATAAAATCTTTTTTTTTTCTCACATAAAATCATATATTGCCACACAAATGTTAGTAATGCTACTATGTTATAAAATTTCTAGGTTTTTGAGTTGATCAAATAAATATGGATGATTTAAATTAATGATGACTAACTACAGGTCTAACTACAAATAAATATCTAAATAGTTGTCAATCAATCAATAAATCAGTAAACCAATTAGTCAGACCGTTAATGAATCAACCAACGTCAATCAGTCTATCAACGATCGATAAACTAATCAATCAATCAACCAATCAGTGTGTCAGGAAACCAGGCAGCCGTCAGACCGTTAATGAATCAACCAACGTCAATCAGTCTATCAACGATTAATAACTCAATCAAAAAAATCAACCAGACAGTCAGTCAATTAATAAGTCAGTCTATCAATCAATCAGCGAAATAATTATCTGTCAAAACGGTATAATCTCGGAATTCATAAGGACATTCACAGGGCAAACAAGCATAATAATAATATAGCCATCACAAAAAGCGTTGGCGAAGAGAACGGCGATTGCACGACCTCAAGTTACTATGGGATGGATAATTAATATTCACTTTTTTTATAAACACGAGCGAACCAAACAACTATTCATTGAATATTCTTGAAACGGATCGAAGTATCTATCATTTCTGAAGCCCACGATAAATATAATATATAATAACTTTCGGTCGTGCATTCTCATTCACTCCCACAACCTTTTTTGAATAGCTGTACAGCATGTTTCAAAACTGAAACATTGAATATCAATCACAGAATCAGTTGACACCAGCTTGAGACTTCCGTGATCTCAAACGTGTCTTGTACCCTGTATTACCAGCACGCTCTGCACTTGAAGGATGTAAGTGATCTTTATCAAGCTTTCTTTTAGCATTTCCATTAGAGAATTCGACATGGTGACCGTTCATGTGAACTCCGTTGGATCTCTTGTGGAGAGMCTGGTCGGAATTCTCAAAGTGTTCGTCGTCTACTACTGTGCCGTTAGTTCGAAGGTAGTGGATAGTTTTACTTGTGGAGTCATCGGCCGGGATTTCTTCAAGACTCTTTTGTCGTGAGCCGAACTATTGGAAATGAATGAAATTAACAACATTGAAATATTGGGGGGGGGATAAAAGAAAATGGGAAATGAAAACGGGAAAAAATGAAAACATGGAAATTAGACGTGAAAAATTGGGTCTGAAAATAATTAAACAAGTGTAAAAGTATGAAATACAAGTTRAACAGAACAAAAGAGCATTAATTTTAAAGGAAACAAACAAATTGAAAAAGAAAGAGATGGGAAAAGGGAAGAAATGGAAGGATGAGAAATGAAAATAAAAAGAATGAAAATAAAAAGTTTAGAAATAAACAGATAAAGGTTAGACATGAGTACAGCTTTGTCAAAGATAAATTAATATATTTAAGTGTGTTTTGTTTAGGAAAATCTCCTTTAAGACAGCTACCGATTAATAGTTTATATCAGACATCAAAATTTTAAGCTTTTCATTTGAGGTTTATTCATTCATCTTAAAAACATTTTTTTATATTTTATCGTATTTTATCTTAAAATGTATTGTTTTTATTGGTATTGCAAAATTCTACAAGAAGGTAAAACAAAAGGTTAAACAGTTTCTTACTTTTTTAAAGAACCGGACTTTTTCCATAATMGCTGCTCTCACCGCTTTCTTTCCACCCTAATAGAGTTTAGTGTTTTTAGTATTTTATAATTTATAGAGTGAAGAGGAAAAACCATGAACTTAATGACTAAAACACCTTGGAAAAGACTGGTGTAAACAAATACGTAAGACACAATTTCTCAGTTATAAACTGTGTTGATCTTATCGCATGCTACAGTATACAGTATAACTTCCAAAGAAAGACATGGTCAGCAAGCATTCAAGGCAGTTGTCTTASATTTTTCATWKAGAAAATGACTTCAAATARAGGTGACTTCAAATATCCATTCGCAATCCATTTCCATCCATCGTTTATAACGTTGAATATTATAACATCTCCATTCATAGAGCAWAAAGGGATAATTAAGAGTAAGTTTTTGCTTATATTACGAAGTATTTTTGTTTCTAAACATAAGCAAAATCTTGTAAAGGATGCTGTTTAACCATGTTGTTTAAAACTTGGATCATTAATGTTACACTGTACATGTGCTGTATTATATGACAACGTTGCGTTTTTTGTGTCTATTTGACTATTACATCTTGACTGCATAAGATTGTKTCATGGGTTTTTAGCCTTCACATTTAGAAGCAGTT